GGTTTCTCCAGTCTCCTTTAGGCCAGTAAATCTGGTCTTTTTTGTGTGAGTTAGAATTATGTTCTACATCCTTCTCCAGCTCTGTCCAGAACCTTCTGTTGTGATCCTGGTCAGAGCAGTCAGTGGTGGTAGCCGGGCACCATCTAGCTGTACTGGACTCAGTCCGGTGGAGGAGGCCTCCCCCATTCTTGTGTGGCACCCTCCACCCATCCTGATTTATGAGAAATTAGATGCTAGATTGTCAGTGATAAATTCTCTCAATTTCCCTCTGAAATGGATGTTTGATTTTAGCTTTGGCCTTCATTTTGAACATTGGAATTATTTAATGCGTAAGCACTTGGCTGCTAACTGGAAGGTCGACAGTTCAAACCTACCGGCCACTCTGTGGGAGAAAGATGTGGCAGTCTGTTTCCATAAAGATTTACAGCCTTGGAAACCCACTGGGGCAGTTAGGGTCAGTATGAGTCAGAATCGACTCAATGGCAGCAGGTTTGGTTTTTTTTTTGAAGTTAGGCCCAGCTAACTTGTGTTGAAAATGTAGAAAAGCTGCTTTCTAGTAACTTGATTTGTGAAAGCTGAGGCCGCAGTTCTCACTTTTGCAAATGATTATTCCCTGCTCCCTTACCCTTTGCATTATAAGTTAAGACAAAAGAGCAAACAGAATATTTTGAATTTCAGCAGAATACCTAGTAAATGAAACACATCCCATATTCAAATCTAGTAAAATGAGCTATGGCTCTGAGTACGGGTGGAAAATACCCAAGGGAATTGTACTATGCACCGGCAGTGGCTCCTCGGGGACAGATGCAGTGAGGTTAATAACAACGCTCATGTGTGGAATGTGGGCATTCAGTGACACACACCTTTGTTTGGTGTGGCCCCTCCTGGCTGGCTACCAGAGACTGGCTGGTTTGCTCTGGGGAGGCAGGCTTGGTCAGGGTCAGGCCCCACACTGAGCCTGGGAGTGACAGCTGGGGGACCAGCTCCCTTCTCACGACTCGTCGAGCCTGAAGAAGCCACTTTGCTTCTCAGTGTAAAAAAATGGCCCCCCATGTTCCTCTTTATGTGCCCTGTCTACCCCCGGACCCCACCCCTGTCCTGTGGTAAAGATGGCATTTCTTGGGCAAACCACCAAGAAACCATTCTCACTGGGGTCTGCATGTGGCGGCTGTCTGACTTATTCCTGGGATTGTTGTGTCTCGGTCAAAGGGGACGCCAATGTCCAGATTGCCAGTATCTCAGAGGAACTGGCCAAGAAGACCGAAGATGCTGCCCGCCAGCAGGAGGAGATCACACACCTGCTGTCTCAGATCGTGGATTTGCAGAAGAAGGCCAAAGCTGTAAGGCTTCTAGGTTTCCCAGGCCGATGCAACACTGGCCGTTCTGGAGCTTGGGATGGGGCGTTTACTGTAGAAAACAGTGTTTCATGTTTTAGGAGTATATGCTGCCTCGTTGGAGAAAAAGCCTAATGCATTCAGTAGTATAAAACTGACTGATCTGAATTGGCGAGGGATCGTATTTATCACCACTTATCTTATAAGAATAATCTGAAAATGAATACAGTTTATTAAGAAAGGTGTTGCAAATATGGAGTTTGGGAATTTAATGTGTGGACCATCTAGTTGAGTATTCTGTCTTACACAGTTGTACCTGGTATGTTCTGCAGCACAACATCCCTTCAGATTTAGGATGAAGCAGCAAAAATCAATTTAATTTCCCTTATTAGGCCTTTGTTACAATTGTGAAATGCTTCCAGAGAGCAGCTCTTGCTTTGGAGGAGAGGTGGGCTATAGAGAACGAATAGGCATTTAGGAAAGATGTGGCCTTCAGAATTACAGAGAAGAGGAAATTTTACTCCAGTGTAAGATAAAAACGTGACTATAGAAATGTGCTGTGGTCGTAGTGAATCAGATTAGAAAAGTTAGACTTATCCAGGCATTTTGAAGGAGGAACTGACTTGTCTCTGTCTTGTTGTAGTGCACAGTGGAGAATGAAGAGCTCGTCCAGCACCTGGGGGCTGCTAAGGATGCCCAGCGGCAGCTCACGGCCGAGGTCAGTGTGTCTCCCTCGTTTACTCAGGGCCTCTGAGTCCAGTTGAGCCTTATCAGTCTCTCTCTGATAAGCTTTGGCATGTCCATCTTAACAACCACACGGCAGCATTTTTAAATTTAATTTCATTTTTATGCATAAGGTAGCTCCCGGCTGCACCTTGACTTTATGCCTGCTGACTCTGTTGTGACATGGTTGTGGGCTCTTGAAGGCCTGGCTCTACACCAGGCAGTGCCTGGCTTGCACAGATACCTGACAAACGTTCAAATAAGTGAAACAGCACAACACAGAACAGGTCATGTTCAAAGATGTGCCTTGAAATGGGGCATTTAATAGGGGTGTAACAATTTGCTTTCTCTTTTTGTTTTAAAGTCGTTTTATCTCAGTGGCCCGTTCTTAGTACTTAGAGGTATTTCTGAGTCTGTAGGGGGGGCAGTGGTGGGTTGGTGGTAGAATTCTCACCTTCTATGCCAGAAACCTGGGTTTGATTCCCAGCCAGTGTACCTCATGTACAGCCACCATCCGTCTGTCATTGGAGGCTTGCATGTTGCTGTGATGCTGAACAGTTTCAGCAGATCTTCCAGCATAAGATAGACTGGGAAGAAAGGCTTGGTGACCTGCTTCTGAAAATCAGCCAAGAAAAACCCTGTGGATCACAACAGTCTGATCCACAACCAGTCACGGGAATGCACAGGACTGGGCAGCACTTCGTTCCGTTGTGCACAGGATCACCATGAGTTGGGGGCCAACTTGATGGTAACTAACAACAACAAGAAGCTTGCCCCAAATAAAAGACAAATGAAGGGCTTGAGAACTCTGTGGCATTTGGCCCGAGGTCCACTGGGCAGCTGGCTCCGTGAGTTGCAGGGGACTCCGTTAGATTGTTTGTGCCATTCTGGCTCATGGGGTGGGTGCGTGGATGCTTACCTCGGTGCCCAGGATCCTGACTGGCTGCATCTTTCCTGCAGCTGCGTGAGCTGGAGGACAAGTATGCAGAGTGCATGGAAATGCTTCATGAGGCGCAGGAGGAGCTGAAGAACCTCCGGAACAAAACCGTGCCAAACACCACGGCCCGGCGCTACCACTCTCTGGGCCTGTTTCCCATGGTGAGCTGGGCGGTGGCCCACGTGTCCTTCCTAACACCCCTCTGCCCACCCTAAAGGAGCGGGAGTCCTCTCAGTAGGAGGGCAGGGTCTGGCGTGCTGACAGCGCCAGTTGAGTCCGTATAGTTAGCTTCTCATTTTGCAGCTTGGGTCTGAATCGCGGGCATAGGTGCCCCGTTGGTGGCTTCTTAACTCCGTAAGACAAATTGATTATTTTCTGTTTGATCTGAATCTGTCTTCTTTTCTACTCTGCCCTTAAAAGATAAATTTAGTAGGAGCTTGAAAACCCTCAGGTATTTGGAAGATGTTGCTTGTACGTTATTTTCTCTGACCTTATTAAAGTACGGGCTGTCGTGGCCTCACAAGTGTGTTCCAGAATTCTTAGATTGCCTGTGCAGTTCTGTTGGCTCTGTCTATGCTTATTAATCATTCTTTTGGTGGCTTCCAGGATCTGTGATCAGGAAAAATATCTCTCTCTACCAAACCAATAACCCAAACCTACTGCTGTCAAGTCAATTCTGACTCATAGCCACCCCGTAGGACAGAGTAGAACTGCCCCTTATGGTTTCCAAGGCTGTAAATCTTTATGGAAACAGACTGCCACATCTTTCTCCCGAGGAGCGGCTAGTGGGTTCGAACCGCCGACCTTTTGGTTAGCAGCCAAGAGCTAAACTACTGTGCCACCAGGCCTCCTCTCTCTCTGCCAGTGGTGGCATTTTAATTTTTAAATATTCTTTCCCCACAGTCTGATTTCTGTAGCCTTGACCTGATTTGTTTCATATTTAGACTTTGGGGAACATAGTTGAAAAGGATGTTTTCCATGTTAATGTCTCCCGGGGGAGCCCCTGGGTGGTGCAAATGGTTAACACATTCGGCTGCTAACCGAAAGGTTGGCAGTTTGAGTCTTTCCAAAGGTGCCTCAGAAGAAAAGCCTGGTGATTTACTTCCAAAAAATCAGCTGTTGAAAACTCTGGAGCACAGTTCTACTCTGACACATGTGGGGTTGCCATGAGCTGGAATCAAGTGTTTTTTTTCTTGGTAGGAGTTGGACAGCACAGGGCTGTGGCCCCTGACTGGTCATTTCCCTGTAACATTCAGTGAATTTAGACTATTTCCATTATTTGGTGAAATAGCAAAATCTTCCTGAGGAGAGAAGAGCTTTGGAGAGAAACTCTTCTAAGCGAAATAGGAGCAAGTGACTGTAAATGCTTGTGAAACTCGTTTCCTCTGAATGTGGCCTTGCCTTGGGGCTCTTTTGCTTCAGTCTTCCTTCCATTGCTGTTCCTACTCCTTACAGTACAGGGCCGACACTGTCCTCCTCTCCTTGCTGTCTGGCCCACTTTTCCTAAATCATGACCTCTTTTCCTTCTTTGCTTTTGTATAGCAAAGTCAGGCTAGAACTAACACACACACTCACACCCTCTCTTTCTTTCTCTCTCTCTCTTTTTTTTTTTAAAGAAGCCTATTGAAATCTAAGGGAAATCAAAAAGAAAGACACACGGCATAAATAGGTTCGCAAGGTGCAGATCAATGATCCAGTGATCCCAGGAATCCCACCCGGTGCAGCCAGCAGAGGACATGCCATGCCCCACATCCCCCAGCCTCAGCTCTCTGCACTCTGCTCCCAGACTGACCTGCGTAGCTGTGCATGCTCCTTGCCTTGGTTTCTTGGTTTCCTTTCTTCCCAGCACCCCCTCTCAGTGCAGTGGTTGCTGGGCCACCTTGTTTTCCTGGGCACGTAGGGTTCACTCTACTTCATTCCCCACTCTCAGGACAAAGCCTGTCTTTTAGAAGTAATCATTACATAAGAAAAGTTGAATTGGAAGTCTGCATTTTGATTTCTTCTGGAGGTATTCTCAGCTTTTCATTTTTGCTGAGGTAAAGCTTTTGTTTACCTTTTTCTGTAGCTGCCAGTCCAGCCCAATTTTTGAAGATGGCTATTTTTAAAGTGCATCATGCATTGAAGGTATTTAAAGCAACCTAAAGATTGTATGATGCCTGTGTTTCTCGAGCAAAATGCCGGGTCTCCCTGCTTTGCTCCCAGTCCTTCTAATTGCTGAATCCATCAGTGAGTAGCAGTCTCTGCTCACGTACGTTCCCAGTTCTCTTACCTTTTGGCAGGAGTTCTTAATCTGGGATCCTCAGACAGAATTTAGGAAGTCTGTGAACTTGGAGGGAAAATTATATCTTTGTTTTCATTAATCTCTAACTGTATTCAGCATTTTCTTCCATTGTGAGCAGAGGCAGCAAGCCACAGCGATAGCAGTACCACCTGTGGCTTTGTCTTCAGTAGAATCACAGATGTTTTCATAGCACATTACAGTGCTTACAGGTGCCTCCGAATCCTGCTTATGCTAACCTCCACTTAAAAATTACAGTCAGCACCATACCTAAAGCCAGATCTGTATGTATTAGTATATCACAAAGGTTGTTCTTAATGTTTTAGTGACCAGTTCCATGTAACTATTTGTAATTCTGGTTATTTTATCTTACTCATTTAAAAATATCATTCTTAGAAGGGGTCCACTGGCTTCCCTGGACTGGCAGAGGGGGTCATGGGCCAAAACACTCACAGACCCCGGCTTGCAACTTTATTTCAGGATGGCTTTGTAATTAGTAGTTTGATATTTCATTTCTCTTTAAGTTGTGTAAAGGCCCCTTCCTCCCTGTTCTGATCACACAGAACTCTAAATGTAAACCATATGATGAATGATAGTATTAAGAAAAATGGTTTAAAAAATGGCAGATTCACCTACGGAAGCTGTTTACCACGGGGGTTATGTTTAATGGCAATCTGTAGGTAACAATTAGTAAGAAATATTATTTGTGAATAAGGACTGAAAAAAAAAAGCCATTAAATCTTTATTTGGTCCAGCTTCCTGCTGGGCTCCTTGGAGTCTCTCCACTTGGTCCCAGCCTGGTGTGCTGTGGGGCCATGGGGATGGGTGCCCTGGAGTCCCCACAAGAAGTGTATGAGGAAGCTGCTTTTCACATATGGCTGTTCGAATTTAAATTAGTTTAAATGAAGTACAATTAAGAATTCAGTTTCTCAGTTGTGCTAGCCCCGTTTCAGTAGCCACTTGAGGCTAGAGGTTTCCATATTGGACAGTGCAGATACTGACCATTTCCCTCATCTCAGGAAGTTCTGTTACTCACACTGATCCAGCCCTTCCCCTCAGCCCAGGCTTTTGCCTACATGGCTGTCCTCCTGTGAGGCTTCAGCAGGAGCTTTTCTGCACACACCTGGGCCTATCTGCGTTAGCGTAAAGGATTGTACTTTAGGCTCTCCCTCACACAGTGAGGACTGGTGGGCGGCACAGGGAGGGGCGTCTGTCAGGAAGCCAGCTGGCTGTCTCTGTGCCAGAACCCTGGGTGAGCCGAGGGGGAATCTATGTGGGCCGCCATGTCATCTGTAAACGTTCATAAGCCTTGGAGGTATTTGAAAATTCACCCATCTGCATCATACTGAACAGCCTTCTCCTGCCTTTCCTTCCCCCACCCAGCCCCCCAAAAAAGTTCTCCTTATCCCCTTGTGGAAGGAGCACTGGTGATGCAATGTTTAAGAGCTCGGCTGCTAACTGAAAGGTCGGCAGTTCAAACCCGCCAGCGGCTCCATGAGAGAAAAGACCTGACTATCTGCTCCCATAAAGATTCTAAAACCCATAGCCGTCAAGTCGATTCTGACTCCTAGCAACCCTATAGGACAGAGTAGAACTGTCCCATAAGGTTTCCAAGGCTGTAATCTTTATGGAAGCAGACTGCCACATCTTTCTCCTGTGGAGTGGCTGGTAGGTTCAAACCGCTGACCTTTCAGTTAGCAGCCAAGCGCCTAAACACTATGCCACCAGAGCTCCTTTCATAAATATTACAGCCTAGGAAACCCTATGGGGTAGTTCTACTGTCACATGGGGTCACTATGAGTCAAAATCGACTTGACGGCACCTAACAGCAACAGCAATTTCCTTGTGATGGTGCAGCTCCATTGTTTGACCAGAGGAACATAAGAGTTGGCTCTGAGACACTCAGCTGCGTGTAGCAAATGGGCTTTCTGCTCAGTGCCCCTTGGTGCCTGCTGTGTTCAGGACCTGCCCTGGAGATTGCCCAGCCAGGGTCTCTGACGCGTAGAGGATGCTGTTAACCTGGTATTGTGGGAAGTCCGTGGGCCTCGTATGCTCTGGTTTAGGCTCCTGCGGCTAGCCCGGCTGCAGTCCTCTGTTTCAGAAACGGAGCATCTGGATTGCTGCTCACTTGCCATGTGTCTTGTGGCTTTTACCAGGACTCGCTGGCTGCGGAGATCGAGGGGACAATGCGCAAGGAGCTGCAGTTGGAAGAGCCTGAGGCTCCAGATGTCACGTACGGCCCGACAGCTTTCATTTCTAAGCTTCCCAGAGACCAGCTTGTGACCTATGTTGATCAAAACTCATGATGTCCAGGCCTCAGACACCAACAGTGGTGACTGTGGTCCTTCCCTGTCCAGATTAAGGGCCTGCAGTACCCCCAGCTCCTTTCATTAGGTTTTAAAGATTTATGGTGAAGTTCCAGGAAGTTGAAGAGGGGGAGAGATGCCTTTCTCATTTCTCTTAGCACAAGCCCCATCACATTGTGGAGGAGTCACCAGCACCCTAAAAAACATGTGAAAGTATCAGAAAGTGGGTGCTTGGGGATTCGTTGTGGGCCAGGTGCCTCTTTAGCTCCTCAGTTGACCATTAGTCATCCCTCTCCTTTAATGAAAAGCATTACTTTTTTTATTTTTAACATCGATTAGGAAAAGAAAAATAGCAATGCAGCGTGAGATGCTCTCCAAGGGGTGGAAGCAAGACTTCCGTTTCCCTTCTGGACTTACCCGGGAATATGATGGCTTCTGCTCCCTCCCTCCCTAACTGCAGATCTTGCACTTGGCCTGCCCCGAGGTGTTTGTAAAGAACCTGTGGACCCAATTTCACCATGTTTTCTCCATACCCAAGTCCCATAGATAGAACTTAGATGGCATACTGGGAGTGAAAAATGTCCAGGAGCCTCCATACACGTGTAAAGTCCCGTGTCCCAGGAGGAAGCAGCCGTTCTAGAAATGTACCTGCCTTTTTCTCCTTAAAAGGAAGGGTACCAGTTAGCATCAAAGTGTGGTTCTGCCTTTAAAACGACTAATCTGGTGTTTATCATCTCATTATTACAAGTTTAAGATTAATTTTAAGTCTTGCTTCTTTTTATATGAATCGTCAACAAACATTCAGCAACTGTTTATTGAGCCCCTACTATGTGCCGAACAGTGAACATAATAGACAGACATTCCTGCCCTTGTAGAGCTTACATGCTAGTTAATATCATAAAACAAGAACACTAGCTGGAGACAAGGAACCCTGATGGCACAACGGTTAAGCTGCTAACCAAAAAGTTGGTGGCTTGAACCCACCCAACAGCTCCAGGGGAGAAAGACCTAGTAATCTCCCATAAAGATTACAGCCTACGAAACCCCCTGGGGCAGTTCTACTCTGTCATATAGGGTTGCTGAGTTGCAATGGACTCAACAGTACCTAACAACAGTAATAACAACTGGAGACGAAGTAGTAATATGTAAGCATTTTTATTTGTAGGTCAAGCTTCAGGGAAGTGGAAAGAAGGATCAGTCTTGCTAGTGTCACCTTTAGAACACAACCGTGTATTAGAGCCCTGACTTCAGTGGGTATTTTGAGTTTCTCAGTTTCACCTTATGGAGGAGACAACCAGCACCCTAAGAAACACGTGGAAGTACCAGAAGGCTGGTGCTTGGGGGTTCGTTGTGGGCCAGGTGCCTCTTTGGCACCTCAGTTGACCGTTTGTGGAGAGTTTAGCTCCGTGGTCATGCCTACATTTGCTTATTCATGGATATTGTGTGTTCTTCCCAGTCACCAGAAGCGTGTCTTTGAGACTGTGAGAAACATCAACCAAATCGTCAAGCAGAGGTCTTTGACCCCTTCCCCCATGAACATCCCTGGCTCCAACCAGTCTTCAGCCATGAACTCCCTCCTCTCCAGCTGCGTCAGCACCCCCAGGTCCAGCTTCTATGGCAGCGATGTCAGCAATGTCATCCTTGACAACAAGACCAACAGTATCATCCTCGAAACAGAGTCATCCGACCTGGGGTGTGTGAGCGGGAGTTTTTCTGTTGTGGGGAGAGGGAGTATGGCTTGAACCACAGGTCCAGTAATCCCAAGAGGGAGGTTGACAAGAATTACCTGAAAAGTAATAGACCTTACAGTTCTCAAGTCTGTTTTACCAACCCACCGAGCTTATGCTTATCCTTGATACTGATCTTTTAAATAGTTTAAAGAAGTATAACGTGGAGTTCCCTGGGTGGTGCAAACATTTAATGTGCTCAGCTGCTAACTGAAAGGTGGGCAGTTCGAGTCCACCCAGAGGTGCCTCGGAAGGCCTGGTGATTTACTTCCAAAAAATCAGCCATTGAAAACCCTGTGGCGCACAGTTCTACTCTGATGCACATGGGGTTGTCGTGAGTCAGACTCATCTCAGTGGCACCTGGTGGTGGTCAACAAGATGACATCAGAAAGTCTGCTTTTCAGTAAAATGTCGAAGGGAGGGTTCGTGAGTATTTTTTTGTGTTCATCTTCATTGGTGTGCTACAGAATAGACATTGGTTTTCTGAACCTCTTTGTAGCTTGGATGTTTGAAAGGCTGATGAGTACTCAGGCTCTGTCTCGTGACTGGAATGTGGTTTGCTTCAGAAGGTGAGGTCCAGAGAGCCAGGGGCTCAGCAAGCATCCATCACATCCTGTGTCCCTGGGTGGTGGTCAGTTTCTCTTCATCCTGAAGCCCTGCAGAACTTGCCCCATCTCCCATTCCCCCACACCCATTGGCCACTCTGTGCACCATTTTCCCTAGACTGAATGACATCAGTGCTTCTGGACTGATGGGTTTCTGTTCAGTGTTGAGGTCTCAGCTCCTTTTTTTTTTTTTTTTTCATTGTGCTTTAGGTGAAAGTTTACAGCTCAAGTTAATTTCTCATTCAAAAATTTATACACATATTGTTTTGTGACATTGGTTGCAGTCCCCACAATGTGACAGCACCCTCTCCTTTTCCACCTTGGGTTCCCTGTGTCATTTAGACAGTGTCTGTCCCTTCCTGCCTTCTCACCCTGCTTTTGGACAGGAGCTGCCCATTTGGTCTCGTGTATCTGACTGAACTAAGAAACATGCTCCTCATGTGTATTATTTTTTGTTTTATACTCCTGTCTAATCTTTGTCTGAAGAGTGGGCTTCAGGAATAGATTCAGTTCTGGGTTAACAGAGCGTCTGGGGGCCATAGTTTCAGGGTTCCTCTAGTCTCCATCAGACCACTAAGTCTGGTCTTTTTACGTGAATTTGAATTCTTTTCTACGTTTTTCTCCTGCTCTATCTTGGACTCTCTGTTGTGTTGCCTGTTACAGCTGTCACTGGTGGTGGCAGGGCTCAGCTCCTTTAATTCAAAACAAGTGTCCCTTGAACCGACTGCCTTTGTGGTAACCAGGAATTGCAGCTGGAAGGTTTCTTCCTAAAGGTTCACAAGGCAGTTGTTCTTAGGGACTGAATTTTATTTAGAATGTGCAAATTCTTGTCCCACCAGAGTGCTCCCTCCCACCGAAAAAATTTCTACAAAGCAAAGTCATTCTTTCCGGCTTGCACGTTGCCTCCCCATTTTTGCCTAAATTTTCAAGGTTTGTCTTGGGTTCCTTAGAAAATCCTGCAGCTGCCAGAAAACTTCCACACGTTTTACATTTACAAGTCAGTCCTTCACTGTACTTAGTGCCCCTACTGCATGCCCCACCCTAACCTCTCTATATCTCCTTCTTCCAGGAACGAGGACCGGAATAAGAAGCCCGGGACGCCAGGCACCCCTGGCTCCCACGACCTGGAGACGGCGCTGAGGCGGCTATCCCTCCGCCGGGAGAACTACCTCTCAGAGAGGCGGTTCTTTGAGGAGGAGCAGGAACGGAAGCTCAGGCAGCTGGCCGAGAAGGGCGAGCTGCTCAGCGGCTCCCTCACCCCCACGGAAAGCATCATGTCCCTCGGCACACACTCCCGCTTCTCTGAGTTCACCGGCTTCTCTGGCATGTCCTTCAGCAGCCGCTCCTACCTGCCTGAGAAGCTCCAGATCGTGAAGCCGCTGGAAGGTGATCACAAGGGGCCTCGGCCCCTCTCTACCCTCGTCAGCGACTCCCTGTGGGCCCTGATCCACCACCGAAAAGCGGGGAACCCCTGTAACGCCTACTCGTTTTTCTTCAGAGATAGCCACCCGCGCTGCTGGTTTGAGTTCCTCTGAGGGTAGCTCGCGGCCTAGGCCCAGCTCCCTCTCGGTTGCAGGTTTGAAAAACCACACACAGACAACGGAGGCTAACCTCAGCCGAACCGAACCAAAGAAGAGAATGTGGGTGCTGGCTTTCTAGGTTTATTTCTTTTGCGTTTAGAACCTTAGCACTAAAAATCTTCTAGAGAGGCAGAGGCACTGCTAATATACTCAAGAGACTAATTCAGTCACCCTTATGGGTCTGAGAAGCGTAGAGAACAAATGCTTTGACTTCTCAGAAATTTTGGTGTCAGGGAGCGGGGGTACAAAGCAAATGCTGTAAGTCGTTTTTTTGATGACCACATGAAAGTGATTTGTCCACCCATGAATTCTGGCTTGATCCTCATATACAGGCTTTCTGAGGTGCAGTGTTCTGAGCAAGGCTCCTGGATGTCTGTAATTTGGGAGCCAGGAGTTTTGTACCTCCTTAAGCCAGGTTTTCCCAGGGGCAGTTCGCTTCTTTAGTATCAGAGGCACCCCAGATGGTTAAACTTATGGAAAAACTCACCTTTTTTTTTTTTTTTTTTTTTGGCTTTTTGCTTTTTGCTTTAGGCAGTATAAAATGTCTTCTGTTTACCCACCACTACCCTGGACGACTAACCAAAATGTTAGCAGTTCATATCCATCCAGAGGCAGCTCAGAAAGGCCTGGTAGTCTGCTTCCAAAGAGTCACAGCCATTGAAAACCCCATGGAGCACAGTTCTACTCTGACACGCATGGGGTCGCCATGAGTTGGAATCGACTTGATGGCAACTGGTTTTTGTTTTTTGATTTGTTCGTTTTTTGTTGTTTTACCTTGCCAGAGGTAAGGTCAATTTTTTCTCTTTTAGTTTGGAAACCCACGTGAATTTATGAGAAAGTATTTTAGAATTCTGCATTACAGTTCTGACGCAAAGCCAAATCAGAATTCCCATAAAGCAGTGTTTCTCAACCTTTCTTTTTAAACCATTGCCTCCTCCCCAATCCCCCAAGGAGCTGTTTTAGACATTCTTCCTAAACACCAACCCCATGAAATTTTAATACCACAAATATACTGCTTACAGATATGTATATCTGTCTTTATACATAAAGAGAGTATGGTTATTTCTGCCCCCACCCAAGAGTAAGTTTTTGCCCCCTTGGGGGCAGTAAAGCCCTGTTGAGAAAGCATGCTTCAGGGTGAGGCTGTGCTTGCTAAAGTTCCCCGGGACCTTGACCTTGCTGGGTCCTTTAATCTCCAAAGGAAGGAAGAGGGTGGGCTATCCTTCTGCATTCATGATTGTTTTTTTAATTGTATAATTTAGGTCCTTCCTAGATTTCAGGAAAGGACAGCTCACTCTTTTTTAATTTGTTTATTCAGTTGTAAGCTTTGCGATTGTTTTCTGATCCACAATTATGTCTGTTTTTCTTTCAATAAAATCTTCCATTTCTGCAATTTTACTTTCTGCCTTTCTTTTCCTTTTCCTCCTTTGTTTCTCAAAGGTCATTGGAATCTATCATCTCTATCTTGTCTGCTTTCTATATTTGACTCTGTGTGTTTCATTAGATCATCCAAGAATATGTTTTTGGATACATTTTCCAAGCGCATTGCAGAGAGTGGTTTTTTTGTTTGTTTTTACCAATTTATCTTTATCTCTTTTAATCTTTTGACTTAGATAACATTATTTTGGGGAATAAGAAGAAATCCTGATAGATTTGCAAGATGACTCCCCCGGGGGCTAAATCACTACCTTTAAAAAGCCGTATCTTACCACTATGGCCTGTCAAGAATCCTTGTGACATATGTCCCTTTAGCTCCATTTTGTAGTTTTCTGACTCCTTAGATTTTAAAAATACAACCAGTATTTTTTCTCTTCCTCCCTTCCACAATTATCGTTTGTGTTACTGTGTTTAATTTGGTAAGTTTGAGTGCTGACATGGAAGTCTGTTTGACTCTGGGTTCTGTTCAGCTCTGTGGCATTGGATCAGTTAACATACCTTTCTGAGCCCTGGTTTCCTGATTTGTCTGGTAGGGCTCTCATCTGCCACACAAGATTGTGGCGAGGCATAAATGTGACAGTGTGTTTTGTATTGTGCCTGGCACCTAACAGGTGCTTATTGATACGTAAGCTCCCCACACACAGCTGCCCTATTCTGGCAGCTCAGGTCTAACAGGCTGCCTTACGACATTGAGATCTGCACCAGCCTTGTGCTGGGGCCATGTTCTCACATCAGTCTCCATTGGCTCACTAAGAAGCTGAGAGGATTGCAGTGATCTCCAGCAGCCCAGGTAAATGTACCTGTTGTGAGGCCCCTGGAGAATGTTGGCTGGGATCATAGTGGATGGCCAATCTGTATCTTTCATCTATGCCTCCCTTACCTGTTTAATCCTGCCATCTGCTTATTGGTGTCAGCAAACATGACTGGGCTAGGTGTTTAAGAATGTACCACTCTTGTCTCTTCATCTTACCTTGCAAGTGTTACGCAGATGAAGAACAAACAAAACATTCAGACTAGAAAGAGATGTGTCTTTGTTAAAATAGGCTGAGCAAGCCACATTTCCTGTATTTTGCTCTTCCCTTCTGGTTAATTATAACCAAGTTAGAATTGCCAAATAAACAAGTTAATATGCAATTAGGAAAAACATAACAATTCTAAACTGTCATCCAGCAGGGCTAGTTCCACCTTTTTAAGCCCAGGAAGATTTTCAGACTTAAATGGACTTGGTTAGTTGCAGCAGTGGGGTGTGGAAGACAGTAAACAATGGCGAAGGGGCAGTGGCTGTAATTACATTCTCCTCTCTGTCCACACCCTTGTTCTGCAGAACTTTGTCTTGGAGTGACTAGGAGCACAAAGGTTTTTCTCTTTCCCCACCCGGTTGCCTAACCCCAGAGTTATTTTTACATGGGTGGGAGGAGCAGGTGGATTTTATGTTGCGTTGGTTGGTGGCAGTGGGAGGTAGCTAATAGAAGAGTGATTCTCTGGCTTTGTGCTTGACAAGGAAGGAAGCCAGGCTGTGGAATGAGTTGTGGAGATGGGGGAGGGGAGCAGATAGGAAAGAGACTCTGGATAAGAGGCGGTTCTAGTTACTTTTTTTTTTTTTAATATATATAGTTTTTTGGTTGTTGAGAATATGCACAGCAGAACATACACCAATTCAACAGTTTGTACATGTAAATTCAGTGACATTGAGTACATTCTTCGAGTCCTGTAACCATTCTCACTTACCTTTTCTGAGTTCTTCCTCCTCTATTAACATAAACTCGCAGCCCCCTAAGGTTCCTATCTAGTCTTTCGAATTGCTGTTGTCAATTTGATCCCATATAGACAGATCTTAAAAGAGCATAATGCTCAAGGCAGATGTTCTTTACTAGTAGGCTAAAGTATTATTAGGTTTTAAGAAGTCTTCAGGGGATATTTTTGGTTTAAGGTTTAAAGATTATCTCAGGACAATAGTTTCAGGGGTTCATCAGCCTCCATGGCTCCAGAAAATCTAGATTCCATGAGAATTTGAAATTCACTTTTGCATTTTCTCTCTTTTGATCGGGATTCTTCTGTAGAATCTTTCATCAAAATGTTCAGTAATGGTAGCCAGGCATCATCCAGTTCTTCTGGTCTCATGGCAAAGGAAGAATTTGTTCATGGAGGCAATTGACCACACGTTCTAATTTTGTATTCCCTCTTGTATCAAAGGAAGGACTTCAGGCAGCCAGGAGGTGGGTAAAATTCCTACATGGCAGTTTAAGTAGTGGCAGTGGAAGACAGGTACAATGTGAGGTGTTTTGCCAAGGTGCTAGGCTTGGCAAATGCTCCAGCCAGGAGTAGAGATAGCCCGTGGCCCCCACAGCATGACATAACTCAGTAACACAGTCAGGTACCGGGTGGCTTTCACTGATAGTTATGTCTGCAGAATAGGAAACACCTGTATGGGGATTAGAAAAGCCATTTTGATGTGTTATTGACCTGATTTCTGAGACTAACATGTAGGAGGCCTCACTGTGGAGAGGCAGGGTATATATGGCTAACAGGATGAACACTGAAGCCAGCCTGGGTTTTAGTCCCAGATCAGCCACTTCCTAGCTATGTTACCTTTGGCAACTTACTTTGCCTCCCCCTGCTCAATTTCCTCATCTGTAAAATGGGAATAATAGGGTTGTCATGAAAATTAAATGAGTTAATATATGGAGCTGTCCTAGAAGAGTGTCGGGTACTTGTAAGTGCTCGATATAGGTTGGCTAGTCTTATGTGAGAAATGGATGCCCAGGGCTTGGGGTAAAAATTCAATTACAGTGCACCTTTCAGCACAGTCTTTCATCTCATTGCCTTTCCGTGGTTACACGGTTTCAAGGAATGCATACTCCATGCTTTTGTGTAGCCTCAACTCCACACAGCAGACCTTTTGTCATTTCTCTTCTGAGTCCATCCATGGTGTGAAGCAAGATGGGGGAGTGGCCTGTTGAACAGATGGGGGTTGGAGGCCTCCAGGACTGTTGTCAGGGCCCAGACTCCATCCTCACCTAATTCTTCCCCAGTGGATTGAAAACTTCTTGATCCCTTTCAGAACAACAAGGAGATTCAGCATTTTCTTGATGTTGTTCTTCACAGTCTCTGTTGTCTTTTCCTTCCCCTCCAAAAGTAGAAGTGACCACTCCTACATTGTGTCTGAGGGTTTTTTGTCCTTCTCAGACCCATATGTGCAGTCCCATGTTGGACATCCTAGTGGCTCCTTTATGGCGTCTCCCCAGTACAGTCTTGTTGCTAGGAACGTGCCTGCCCAGCCAGTGAGCACGTCATCAGGGGCCCATTATGCAGTGGGAATGAGGCCCAGGGGATGAGAAGCCCCATCTGGAGGCTGTGTGTGTCTCCTGGGCCCGACACCCACCTGGAGGTTTTGCTGCTGGCTGTATGTGCAGCTGAGGGCCGACCACTGCCTCTCACCTAACCCAGGTTCCTGCCGGGAAGCTGATGTCCTTGCCTGTCCTCAGATCTGTGGGTTTTGGGTGTGAGCAGTGTGGGGTAATTGAAAGCACCGGGCCTTTAGATCTGAGCCCTGACTATGCCACCAACTAATTAAGTGACTTAACTTTAAGGTACCTCAGTTCCCTTTTCTGTAGAATTTGGGCAATAACACTTCATAGGGTAGTTTTGAGGAGTGAGCGATGCAGTACATTTAAAGTAAATCGCCACGCAGGCATTTGTCAGTACAGGGCAGCTTCTTGAAACAATGGTGCTGTGCCACCAGGGTTCGGGATCCCGTGAAGTGGGTTTAGCATGTCTGCGAAGCCCTGATCACGTATATGCAGAATTGCACACAAGCTCTTTTTGAGGCGACTCCACGGCTTCCTTCAGATTCTCAAGGGATCTGAGAGGTAAAAACCATGGCCCTGGATCAGGGCTCCTCAACCCCGGCTCTATTGACATTTGGGACCGGATAATTCTTTTATGTGGGAGACTATCCTGCACATTGTAGGATATTTAGTAGCATCCTTGGCCTCTACCCAATAGAAGCCATTAGCACCCCCTAAGCTGTGGCAACTAACAATGTCTCCAGACATTGTCAGATGTCCACTGTGGAGGGAGGGGGGGAAATCACCACCAGTTTAGAACCACTGCTCTAGACGTATCTTACCTGGAGAACAGGTGTGTGGTGGAGGGGCATTTGATGTACCCTCCCTCATTTTATGCACCGCTTTCTTTTTTCTTTTGGAATGTTTTCTATTTATGAAAAGTAGATTTGGGTTAAGTAGGTTACTCTTGTACTTGTGCACTTACTACTGGAATGGACCTCAAAGTGGATAATAGAAAATCTTTTAAACATGTATTGGCAGTGTGTAAAATGCTTTTTCCCTTCTAAAAGTAGACTTGAAATTTCCACTTACAAAACCCTTTCAAGGCTCCCCAAGCTGAGATTGTCTCTAAGAAGTTATTCCGCAGGGGTGTTTTGGAGTTGGTGATCTCGCTGGGCACACCAGAGGGGCAGGAGCTCTTGACTAGCACAGGTTCTCTGCAGCTTGCTCACATTCCTGGGCCGCTCCTGGACCCACAGCCTGCCTTCTTTCCTCTTCTCTTTAATCGTGACTAGCCCTGGTGGCACAGTGGTTAAGAGCTCAGCTGCTAACCAAAAGACTGGCAGTTCGAATCCACCAGCTGCTCCTTGGAAACCCTGTGGGGAAGTTCTACCCTGTCCTGTCGGGTCGCTATAAGTCGGAATCGACTAGAAGGCAATGGTTTTAGTTTTTTGGTTTAATGGCTATTGGCTAATGGCTTCTGGTGTCCTTGGCTCCCTTCCTGACACTCCCAAGTGCAGCTTGCTAGCCTGGAGGAGGGATTCTTGTCCATCCCAGAGGATGCCCACTGTGAACCAGTGATAACCATCTGGGAGGCCATTTGTGCCAGGAAGACTCCTGCTCTCTGATGACAAAACCAAAATAACACCAAACCTGTTGCTGTTGAGTCGATTCCAACTCACAGTGACCCTATAGGACAGAGTAGAGCGGCCCCATAGGGTTTCCAAGGAGCGACTGGTGGATTTGAACTGCTGACCTTTTGGTTAGTAGCCAAGCTGTTAACTGCAGCACTGCCAGGGCTCCTTCCAATGACCAAGAGCCTCTCTAAAAGTCTCTTTTTGGAGTGTAGAATAGTTATTTGTGTGGCTGTGTGAGTTTAGGCAATGAGGATAGAAATCCCATCCGCAGGGCTGTGCACCAAGAATACCAGCATCCTGTGAGATACTAATGCGTGTTCCAGGGGAGAAGAAAGGGTGCTCAGTCAAGCAGAATCCCAGGTAGAATATCCAGGTAGAATCCCAGAATATACCAACGTACTGAAGGTTCTGAACTGTTCCTAAGTAAATAGACTTCTTTGCCCAGGTTTCCTCGGTACACTTGGCCTTGGAACACCTCTTTTTATAGAGCATCTGTGACACCCTTGGGTCCTCAGGGGACACAGGGTGCTGGTCAGGTTAGCTCTGCTCTGGTGTTATTACAGAGCTTGCATGATGTTATCTGATCCCGGGGTTCAGTGTCACCGAGATCGGCTCCTCTGCTTCAGACCTCTGTGTGGACCTGCCGTGTTCTTAAATCACACCCCGATAGCTCAAACCCCCCTCCCTACACTTGCAGCCATTCAAGGTTGCTGGCAGAATAGAGAAAACCCAAGTAAAGGAGGCGGCGGTTGCATCTACCACTTAACTCTGTGTATTTCCTGAATGTATTTTTGCTTTTTTCTTGTTGTGGCTCTGGGGCTAGTTCAATACTGTCTTACTCTGTCATTTGTTGTTGTTGAAAATATACACAACAGAACATATACCAATTTGACAGTTTCTATGTGTACACTTCAGTGACACCGATGACATTCTTTGAGTTGTGCAACCATTCTCACCCTCCTTTTCTGAGTTGTTCCTCCTCTATTAACATAAACTCACTGCCCCCTAAGTTTCCTATCTAATCTTTCTAGTTGCTGTTGTCAGTTTGATCCTGTGTAGATGATAGGTTTTTAAAAGAGCACAATGCTCAAGGCAGACATTCTTTACTAATTAAGCTAAACTATTGTTTGGTTTAAAGAAGACTTCAGGAGATGTTTTTGGTTTAAGGTTTAAATATTATCTTAGGGCAATAGTTTCAGGGGTTTATGCAGCCTCCGTGGTGCCACAAAGTCTGGGTTCCCTAAGAATTTGAAATTCTGTTCCACATTTTACCGCCGCCCCCTTGATCAGGATTCTTCTGTATAATCTTTGATGAAAATGGTCTTACTCTATCTTCCCTGTTCCCAGCACTGTGTATTTAGCATAGAATCAGTACATGTGTCCCTACCCGCTTTTATGTTAGTCTTTGGTGGGTTTTCCCCTTCCGTTTCTAAAATGATTTGTGTTGGATTTTGAGGTTGACATTGGTTGGATAAAATAAAGACTTTGTCACCAAAGAGCTTTGTCACACAGTGTGGTACTAATTTCACTTAAAAAAAAAAAATTTTTTTTGATTTCCTAAGTTGGTGCCCCTACCAGGTGGGACATGTAGCATATCGGTTACTGTTGTATCACAGGAAGGGCCGGGGCAGCTTCACTGCTGTCCCCACCAGAGCCCACCTGGGGAGAGTCAGACCTCCCGGGGGTTGGCTCTGGGCACTCTGAGGGTGGGTAGACTGCCATCATCACAGAATCCTATTCTCACCCTCTCTTCTCCCTGTCCCTCTTTCTCTGCACTTCCTCCTGCAAGGTTCTGCCACCCTTCACCACTGGCAGCAACTGGCCCAGCCTCACCTCGGGGGCATCCTGGACCCCCGGCCTGGTGTGGTCACCAAGGGCTTCCGGACACTGGACGTTGACCTGGATGAAGTGTACTGCCTTAACGACTTTGAAGAAGATGACACAGGTGACCACATTTCCCCCCCAGGCCTAGCTACCTCCACGCCAGTTCAGCACCCAGAGACCTCAGGTGAGAGGTCCCGAGCACGCGTGACTGTCTCAGGCAGCAGAAGTTACCCGAGCCGGCCTCAGGCTTTCCCCGAGGAGATGCAGGAGCCGCCAGCGGTCACGGAGAAGGAGGAGGAGGAGGAGGGGTCTGGTGAGGGCACCGTGATAAGTCCTGTAAACTTGGCACCTTCACTGGAGGCAGAGTTCTGGGCCATTCTCACCTCTGTCCCGGGCACCATCCGTAGTGGCTCTGTGTCTGTAGCTTCCGCTCGTCTGTGTGGGTGATGACCCAGACATTCCCATTGTCCAGTTCTGTGTTTAATACAGAGTCTGATACCTCCTCCTTAAAGTGAATGGGTGTAGCTCCCTGCCCACCTTGGAGGTGTATGACCCAACAGGGCTCTCAAGTGGGAGCAGGAAAGGCTGCTAAAAAGAAGTGGATTATTGGGACCCCCAGACCAGTGGCGCCCCTCTTCCTGTTACGAGTCTCTCCCCCGTCTAAAGGGCAGATTCTTGAGAACCTTGGTGGTTTCCAAACTGGGCTGAGCTGAGTCGGCAGTTGTAGGGGAATTCTGAGTTCTGGGTCATCCAGCAGGTAAATGAGAATGTTACCTAAATGCTGCATTAAAATAGGAAGAAGCACAGAAAGTGTTCACGACTTCAGATAACACCTGACAGATGAGCTTTTTCACTTTTTTATCATCAGTGAAAGCATATGTGTGTATATATATGTGTGTGTGTATGTGTGTGTATATGTATCTACATATACACACACGTATATATATTTCTTTCCAACTCACACGTGTGTTCAAAGTGGAGTTTTAAAAAGTCTTTTAGCAATCTTCCCTAACCAAACAAACCCTAAGAGAAAGTCATTAACCTCTTCCGGCTCCAGAGAAAAAGGACTCTAGATGAATCCAGAAAGGAGCTCTGGCTGTTGATCACCCCCTCCCCCACCACCACTACCACGCAGGAAGCATTAACGGAATGACCTTGAGTTTGCAGAATTCCCCGTATCCCCTTGGTGGTGAAAGTGTTATGCTCCGGGCCCCTGGGACCACCGAGGCACGTGGTTACTATTTCTCCTATAGTACGCTTAACCCCAGACTTCCCGGACCTCCCAGCTCCATGTGCTGAGAAGACGAGGAAGCTCTTGTGGAATAAGGGGAAGACCCAGAAAAAAAGTGGAATTGACCCAATGTTGTCATCTTCATGATATTCTCCAGTCACCAAGTTTGAAGAGATGACATGCACCTTTGTGCCTTGTGATTGTCATTTGTGAGGGCCACAACACTCCCTGTAAAATATGAGGCAGGAAAGAGGTGAGGTTCTTAGCGGCATCTCCCCTTTCCCTGGCTGCATTCCAACAGCTCTGGTCCAGGGGCTTTATTTGGGACCAAGTGTTGTTTTTTTGCCTTTGAGATAAACTTTAGAAGTGGAGTCAAGTGAAAAGAGTTTGTTTAGCACGTAGTGTGGCTTTTTGTTTTTTTGTTTTGTTACAGCAATTATGTTATCAGATTGAGCTTGTAAGGGAATGAAAGCATTCAGAATTAGTATCTCTGCACTTAAGAAAGGCAAACCAGCTGTGGTGTTGTTACATCCCTTTGTTATCAGCATCAGTACCCTCTGGAAGGTAGGCAGCGGTACATGAACCTCAGAGTCCAGCTGATCTTTGCTGCTGCGGCTGAAGGGGTGGGCATCCTATCCAGTGTGAGGACTCCCTGCAGCCTCGAGGATGGAATAGATCCTGGAAGTTTAAAGAAGCACCATTAGGTGCGCCTTTGAGAAGTTGTACAGAAGGAGCAAGGCTTATCAAGTCAGCAAAGAACTTCTCTCAGGGGACAGAAGGAGAGGGGACCAGTTAATGAGGACTAAAGTCATGACCACTTTTATTACCATAAACAAAGACACATTTATTGTTTCTTCCCTCCCTACTCAAACCTGCAACAAATTCCTCCCTGCAATTTTATATGAGAGGCGTTCACATTTGCAATAGAAACTGTAAAGGGCTCAGATTGGGCTTGTGTGATCAAAGAAGAATTATATAGATTGCTGAAGTTAATTTAGGATAGGTCTGAGCTGTTCAAACAAGAGTCCTTTTGGGTAAGACTTGTCTTTAAAAGCTCATTGCAGAAGGGAAGGGCAGGAGCAAGGGTTTGGCTTTTTTTTTTTTTTTTCCTTTTATGGGGAAACTCAGGGCTGTTTTGATTCCTGGCATTGAAGAAGTGTATCACTCTGTAAATAAATCATCCTGGAGGTCCCGAATGGCTAGTACAAATCTTGAGAGTCTCAGGCGAATGTCCTCTGGCTTGGGATTTGTATCCAGGTTGGTGCAGCCGGCCCCTGCCTTGTTCTGCTTTTTTGTTGCCAAACAGCCAGGCCCTGGAGCTGCCCTCTGCCTGGGAAGATTCAGTAGGGAGAAACTTTGGAGACAGAAGGTGATTCACCTTTTCTTCTTGCAACTGGTATGATGTGGAAATTGGGGAGACTCATATGTTAGCCATTTTTGTCTGGAGCCTGCTGACTCCATGGAGGAAAAATTTTGAGCACTGAAAAAATTTATTAACATGTTTCATGTACTGTTTTAAGCATCATTTGCTGGTTTTTAAAACCCCATGTCTTAAAAAGGATGATCCCGTGCTATTGTAAATAATTTAGATGATTAAAGTGGATTGCTTACAACAATTTTTAAATTATAGTTTTACTTTGTTTCAATGACATGTTTTATATTTTAATTCATATGTTGTAGAAAGTTCACTTTATCAGAAATCATCACCATCTTGTACCTTCAGTATTCAGTATTCTGTGTTTTGGGTATTTATGTAGTTATCATGAGCCTACACCATGGTAAAGGGCTTGGGTGAGAGTTTGAAAGTCTCGCAGTTAAATCAGTAGATGGCTGGTTGGATGGACAGTTGAATTGGGTGCCTTGATCCATAAGGTGGGATTAAAGCAACGTAGATAAAATAAATTGAAGATTTATTTTAATACACACGTGTAGACCATTTTATATGGGGAAAATACCAATAACAGGCTTATGTGAATCATGGCATCTTATCTGGCAATGACCCTGCAGTACAGCTGTATCCTAATTGAGGCTAAGATGGTAAAGTGAGTGTTGAAGGCAAAAATCACATTTGGTCAAAATTGCCCTTGAAAATCCCTAAGTCTCCAGTATCTGGGCCCCTAGAACCAAAAGCCAAGAATTAGCTTGTTTCTAGCTTCCTTATTTGGTACATAGGTCCAAGTTCTGAGCAGTTAGTGAGTGAGGGAAGGGAAGAGAACAGCTTGTGGTAGAAAGGAGCCAGATGGAAAGTTCGAGAAGCCAAGTATTACCCTAGTTTTGTCTCAGGGCAGGGGCATTTCAAGCAAAGCCATGCCAGCCCTTATCTTGTTGAACTTTTAGTCCCACTGTGGAGGCAGGAACCAGGATAGGGTCGGGAAGAAAAGTCAGCCTAGGGGCCTGATGGGTCTGTAGGCCAACGACTCATACACTCAGTTCAAGACCCTTGGGTATAGGCAAGTTCCTTCTCATTGTCTCCACCAAGAGAGGTGGTGGCCAATTCCCACTCTGATGAGAACACTTTTCAAACCAGCCTTAGGTCTATAGCAGTTATAGGAGACTGTGGTCATGATGCACAGAGTGGATGGTCTGCTCAAGCCCATCTGTATTAGGAGGTGCTAAGGAAGCCCTCAGAGCCTTGGTGGTGCTGTGGTTAAGTCTTCGGCTGCTAACCAAGAGATTGGCAGTTCGAATCCACCAGTTGCTCCTTGGAAACCCTATGAGGCAGTTCTACTTTGTCCTGTAGGGTCACTATGAGTTGGAATCGACTCGATGGCAACAGGTTAAGGAAGCCCTCAGATGCCCTGGTGGTGCAATGGTTAAGCACTCAGCTATTAACCGAAAAGTTCACAGTTCAAACCCATCCAGCAGGTCCACGGGAGAAAGACATGGCGATCTACTTCTGTAAAGATTGCGGCCAAGAAAACCCTATGAGTCAGTTCTGCTCTGTCACATGGGTTTGCTATGAGTTGAAATCAACTCGATGGCATCGAACAACAACAACAAGGAAATCCTTACTCAGTTGCATCAGAATATGTATATTGTGCACCAGAGTCAAACAGGCCAACTGCAACCTGGGAGTGGAAAAAAGGAGGGAGAATCAGCTCCTCTAAAACAAACAGCCTAGAGTTGACTGCTTCAGAATTCCAGAATGAAGCTGACTTATTAAAAACGATTTTTCTACAGTAACCTCGCCCCTGAAAACCCTAGGAGGGTCCTCCCGTGTTCCCCTAGGATTACTGAGGAGGGGCGTCTGCACAGACAGGTTGGGGCTTGACACTTTGCTAACATGGGGGGCCCTAAGGGAGCGGATGCGTAAGCACTAAGGTGGATTGCTTGGGGGTCTGAATGAGCGGTACTACTGCACTGCCTAGGGAAGCCCGGGAGAAGTGCCCTCTTGAAGTGGTGTCAAAAGCACGAACGGGGAAAGGTCTCACTGCTGGCTGAGCCAGGCCAACTCCCCCACTTGGTAGCATCCACCCAGAAGGAAGGGCAAAAACACTGAGCTCGTAGAGTCCAGCTTATTGAGTGTCCAAAGGATCCCAACATACTTTTGCATTTGCCCTTTTGACATTTTAACAGCACCATTAAAAAAAAAAAAAAATCTCACTTTCTCTAGAAGCTACCCCAGGGGGCGCTTGAGGAGATTTCTGGCCCTCTCTGCACTAATGCTATAAAATTGTCCATCTCTTAAATCACATACTTTTTATATGAGACAGGAGACAGCTTGGTGTAGTGGGAAGAGTAGACTTAATTTTGCAGGAAACAAAACTAAATTGTACAGAAACCAGAAAAAGATCTTGCAACATGGTTCAAACTATCTGGTGGAAACCTCCGCAGTGCCTGCTGGCTGATGTCTGCAGCGACTCAGGGAAGCCCTAAAGAGATGCAGGACC